ATAGAGACCTGCACGGGTCGTACCATAATATAAATATTACAGGTATGTGTTATGGGCGGGATCATAATATTTTTCTTTGGAATGGACCTGTCAAAAATATCACTACCTAAGTATAATATAAGAGTACAATATTAATGTCAATTACTGGCGTTGGACAAGGAAATGTTCCCAGACTGATAGGGTATAAGCTTGTCACAAATCATAATAAAAATATGCATATATTATTAGTCTACATGATATTCATAATAATAGATCACCGATAGAAACAATAAGTATTACGAAAGGGCCTGGGCGAGTTGGACTTCAAAAAAAATTTAAAGATCGGGCTTAGGCGGAGGCGTTTTGTAAGTTTAAATTTCGAGCCAAAAAATCAGCTACTGACGTGCGACACATGAATAAAAACGGGTACACCGGCGTCGCGTATCGCGCTTATTCACACGGGATAGATGGTTTCGAAGTGGATCGCGACCGACGATTTTTTTTTCTTTCTTCTTCCTACATTTTCTCGTATCGAATTTCATTATTGCCTGATCACTATTTGCGAGAATACCAATGAAAACCCAATGAAAACCCGCCGGATTACTTGGGTTGACGTCACAACGGTTCCGATTTATTCCGTTCGCACGGCGCTATTTGCATGTATATGCATATATGCATATTACGTACGATGCAGTGGAGCGGAGCGCATTACGTCGCGTCGCAATTTGTTTCGGATGAAAACGCGAGCGAGCCCATCACAGCTACCGCGGACCTACGACGACGGACCGTGTACGAGCACACCGTACAGCTGACGAGGCCTTACGGGGTGCTCCCAGTTCGCGATTCATGCGAATGGAATTTTCATGATTTCTTGTTCATTGTTATTTACACTGCTCGGACTAGGCGCCGACACGTTCCTTTCACATGCGAATACGACTTAAACTTAGTACATTTAACACTGTACTGCGTATACATGCTTGTTTAACGTATGCGCTTTTGAAGAGAAAAAAAAAATTTTTCCAAAAAATCCTTAACTACATACAGTCAAATACTTGTGAAGCATCGAGCATTACTGTTAAACAGTAGTTTTTTTTCTAAACTTGAAGATTTAAGTCGACTAGGCCGTGGATCTGATGTATAGTGGAATGTTTTCCCCAAAAACCCAATCGGTGCACTGGAGTTGTTTTTTTTTTATAACCGCAATAATATGTTACAGAATAAGTTTTTTTCACACTTTTGAGAAAAAGAGCAATAAAAAAATTGGTCTGAACCCTACTAGGATGATCAAGAGGTTTACTAACTTTAGGAATGAGAATGATTATAGAAAACTTCTATTGCAGGGACAAGAGTAATAAACCCATAACTGTATTTAAAATTAAGATAAACATAAGTAAAGATTAAATCCGGAGCATTAACGTAAGAGAAAAGATTTTATAAACTTATCTCCCTGCCCAAAATCTCGATAAAAATAAAAAAAGGTAGATGGTAAGTGTTTCTGTAGATCACTATATTGATTGTATTAACATTTAATAGAAAATAATTACTAAAATGCAATAGATGCAAAAAATTAAGTAAAAATACCAGAATTGTCAGATGAAACATGAAAAGTTAATAAGGACATAATATAGAAGGTACGAAATATGTATGCACCCGTATGTACACTACTTACGCACTCATCGCTGTGCATTAAAACCAAAGTTAAAAGCTATTATTTTATTTGATAAAACTATTTAGAGATAGACCATTTTAACCTTTAACATCTTATACAGAGAATAGTTGTTAAGAAACAAATTAATTCAATGTTTTAATTATTATAACATAGTAATTTAATACGCACACGGTCATGCAATTGTTTTCAAAGAAAATATATAAGATTAGAAGAAACTACATAAATCCACAACATAAATCAAATAGATAACATTTTATTTTTTGTACATATCAAACAAATATTTAAAAACCGTTTTAAACTTTTGTACAAATATAAACAATGGTTATCACAATTTTATGATCTCGAGAAAGAAAAATGCTAATATTAAATTACTTCTGTGTACAATAGTTTTCATGATTATCTTTTACATTTTAGTTAAACTATTTTTAAATACTGAATTAAAATAAAACGGTTAATACCAGTAGATGAGAGAACATTTAAAATAAATGCAGATAATTTTTTTCTATTATATACGCTTTATTTTTACATCATATTAATAAACATTTATCGATTAAATAATTAAACCAAATTACTGGAAATTTAATAAAATATAAATAACCATACAATTAAAATGTTTTCTTTCTTTTTATGTAATTTCTTAGATACAAAAATATTAAAACAATAAATGCTCGATTATTATACGATAATTGAAACACCGGGGTTAATACAACACAATATATAATTAAAATCGTTGTTAGCTATTACTAAGTAAATTATAATAATTATTCGTGACCAGGAAAAAAAATTAAAAAATTTCCTGAGCGTATGTATGTATAATCGCAAGAATTCAAAAAATCCAATCGCAAATGTATTAAACTATTTTCATTTTAGTTGGTTGTTAAAAAACTAGTGAGGAAATATTAAGTCACAAACAAATATTATTCAAATTGTTTCCAATTCGCAAATATTTATATCAATACGGTTTTCGTAAAGTAAACTAAAATAATAGTCTACGTGCCTTTTATTTACTACCCTACAGACGTTCACCCAGTATTCCAGTTCCGTCCACAAAAGACCAAGATTTTGCCGGTCCACGATAACAACTGCACAATCGATCCTTACTCTTAACTCATCCAACGTTATTTTCAATGAATTTTGCTATTTTTTTTTTGTCATGTTCGTTTATTCACTTATCAAACAAATCAAAATTTCACAAGCTACAAGATAAACAAAGCTTCGGTCCAATCAAAAACACTCGCTATAATTGCACGCACGCTACCACCACGTTACTGAGCTACGCACTTTGTTCATGACCTTCAAAACAAAAAAACATGGACCCTTTCCCTGTCACTAAATTTCACAGGGTTGCCAGTTATCGAAAACCAAACTATGTACTAAATAAATCATTCCTCCTAAATACATCGAGTGTATCAAACATGATTATTGACTTAGATCGGCGAAATTTTTTTCGGACACTTTGTCTTTGAAAATAAAATATTACGCAATTCGACAATGATTAAATGTACAAAGTCCATATTAATTATAAACTCGAACACGTACTGTTTACATGAAATGCACTGAATTGACTAAGGTAAAGCGTTACAAAAATGTAGGTATTCTTTTGGAAATTATTTAATTTTTTAATATTCTTCTTATTCTCCCTCGCCTTTCCGCCAACTTTTTGCTAAACCTTTACTCGCCTCGATTTTCTACATCCTTTACACATACACACACACACATACCTTCATATACTTCTCAATTGTACCCAACGTATTGTATCGTATCTATTTTTATATGAATAAAAAAAAAACTATCTGTTAAAAATATTATAACGATGTGTAGGCGATATATACGCAATAAGTAATTTCAATGCTACACAGAAGATGGCTGGTATGAGTTTTTGATGCTAAACTATATCGAAGAGAAACGACAGTCCTACGACGATTTCCGTTCTAGAATCTTATGCCTACCAGGAAAAATTGACCATTGTGTGCAACGTTATTTCTGAGAAATTTGATCGAACTATTCCCCGGTACGGTTACAACAGTAACAGGTAAACCAAGAACGTGCCATCTGGTTTCGGGCTGGATCACTTTTGTGTGCAAGTAACGATTAAACCATCATGACCTAAATACGATGTCAACTGAAACGTTTTGTCGTACGATACGGGATTAGCGACACTTAAGAACAAGCCATAACATGTTTGTATCTGTTCGGAGGGAGGGGGGAATATATAATATTATAAATTAATGTCTAACGTTCATCGACCGTCTAGCAAAACGTTAACTTTTTTTTGTTAATGATATAAAAAATAAAACACGTTACGTTTTAGGATTATAAAATCGTTCGAATCCGAACACATTGGACGGGAGGGAAATGAATACAACCCTGAGGAGATCGGGAAGCACAATTATTCTCGCGGCACTACACGCGTTATTAGTGCTGTGTGTTTTCTACGGAAACGTGTCGGTCAGACAGTGAAAATTCGTCGACACATTGCCGATTACCTGCGGTGCGAACGGCACACCGACAGCGAAAACGAACACCCGTAGCGTGCGGGGTCGGGTACGCGGTAACCTTGAGCGTAGCGGATTATGCGACGGAGATTTTACGGGACGGAAGTCCGAGAACGAGATTTTCGATGGGTTCGACTGGAAAACGGGCGCAATATCGGCGACGCGCACGACGGTTTACACCTCCGTCGGGGCGTGCGTGGAAATATGGAATGCGCGACAAAGGTCACGGTCGGCTGTGCGGCGTCCATGAATCATTTCTAAGCGAGTGAAAAACAACAACAAAAATAATAATAAGAAAAAAAAAAAAACGCTGTTCACAGCCGTGTGATGCGCGTACGTAGCTCGCGCGGCGGACAATAATATTATTATCGTGCGTTGTACCTATACCGGGAGCAGCAACGCGCACGCACACCAATACGCGATCGGAGGTGCGGGTGCACACACATGCGCGCACGTTCCCGCGTGTGGTTTCTTTATTCTTGGACTAGTTCACGAAAACCGGTTCCCCGAGGTGCATCACCGACGGACGCATTTTTCTCGGACGATCGCCCCGGACCGTACCGGCTATCCGTTTTCAGCACGCCATCGCCACTCGCGAGGAAACGGCGTGAAACGAAAAGGGTCGACGAGATCCCCTCGGCCCGTCGTCGAAACGCCGAACACCTCGCACCAATCCGTTATCAGAAGGGTGTTTATCAGCGGCCGCGCAGGTAGATGATAATGAACGTTTGGACGACGAGAGAGACGAACGACACCCGTTTTCCGTCGAGTGTGGAACGCGCAACGATAACGATACGACCCCCCCCCCATCTCCTCCCGACCGTGATGATAAACAAACAGCAGTGATAATTACTAACAGCGGTTTGTGATAACCGTTCTGGTAGGCCGTGTGTTTCGCGTTGTAGTTGTTGTGGATGCTGTTGTTGTTGTTGTTGCTGCTGCTGCTATTGTTGTTGTAACGCAAATTCGGCCCGCCATTTTGGACCAAGTGCTTGCGGTACGGTTCCGTCTCGAACCGGAGCACTTCCACCTTGTCGGAGTACATGATGGCGCTGTCCTCGTACGGGATGCGTTGCCGGTTTCGTACGGCGTCGTGGTCGTCACCGCCGGAAAACGTGGCCGGCCGCGCGGAAGAACGCGGTGACGGTCGCGAAACAACCCCAAGGAAACCGCGCGCGGAAAACAATGAACGAACGGACAACGACGGCAGCGCGATCGGAAACAAGCGTTGTTTTGACGATCCGTTGCGGCGGACGCGCACAAACGACGGCGAGGGAGATCGACGCGGTACTGGTTTTCCTCTGCCGCCGTCGCGTTTCACGGCGCTCGCCGTTCCCCGGGCTGCCGCCACCGCCGTTGGCCCGCTGCCCGACGTTCACGTTTAGGAAGGGGCAAAGCGATCACGAGCCCCTCGCGTTCCTCGTACGTGCAAGTACGACGCGTTATGACGACCGGGTACCCACGCACGACGTACAGTACATTGGGTCGGCGTCGTCGCTGTTGTAGGTGATGTTGCGCGCAACGTATCGTACGGTATAAGAAAATGTTTTTTTTTTTCCTTCTCTCTTTCGTGTCCATTCGATCGCTCGGTACACCTAGTAGGATAGTAGGATTTTATTCCACCACCCGAGTACATCAACCGCCGTTTTGTGCCCTTTTTTTTTCTCCCGAACGGTCGGAGCTGCGCTGGTTAAGACGAACGTTTCGGTCGAACATCGATGGCGATTTTTGGGTGTCGTTACGTTTCTTACGTGCGAAACGTATTGATGATCAAATCAAATGATGTGAAATGAAACATTTTCATTGAACATTTCCTTAGCACGAAATAGGTCCACGGCTGTTATGGAATATTGATTTCGGATCGATTGAGCACGAACATTTCATTTTTTCATTTTATTTACGATTAGTATTTAAACAACGTACACCAAAAGCATTCGTTGCGCTTACTCTGTTGAAAATAATTATTTATACATTTAATAATGCTCTGTTGAAATGCTTAGTGTTGTAAACAATTTTAACTATTGCTTGTAAAGGAATGCACCATTTATCGGTAAATTTAGTAAATTCGATAGATGCATTGAATGTTTAAGAAGCTTTCTAAAAAAATTTTATTTTTAAAAATTACACTTTTAATAATAATTTATTTATTTACTTTCTGAGTCATAATTTAATTACATACGTTATCCTAATTACTAACTAATAAGGGATAAAATATTAATGCATAGTTCAGCAAAATAACTGAAATTATAGTGACGCATTCGATGTGCTAACCAAGAGAATTAGTCATAATCAGGGCTCGTAACTTATAGCTCTAAAAATGGAAGTTTTAAGCGCTGTAATATGTTTATAAAAATATTCATACAAGCGTTTAAATATGCACTAAAAATAAAAAAATAAATCATGTAAAAAAATGTCAAACTCTTATTATTAAAATACCGTACGCGTCGCTATATGATACAAATAAATATGTAATTTCAAACTTTTCTTAAAAAGAAGATGAATTAATTATATAAATATTAATACTATAATTATTATATATTATATATATATATATGTTATAATTACAATTACTTGTTATTATTAAGAAAAAATGTTTTAAATGCTACGGAACTGAAAAAAGACCTGAGAAAGCTAAATAGCTTTTATACTTTAAAATAAGCAAAAATATGTAACATGAAATTTCGTATTTAGTTTCTTAGTTATTTGAAACAAATTTATAGCTCACATTGATATTTCTAGGACCTCTCAAAAAATATGTAAATGCTATAAGTTATGAACCCTAGTCATAATGCTACTACTATGTAAAGAGAATTTATTTTTTTTACAATTTTAAAAATGTTATTATAATAATTAGCAACACAAAAATCGGAGAACAAATATAAATTTACAAAATTACTCGAATTATGAGTTTAATAACATTTATAAAATATTTGTTGAACGAAACGATACATTTTTATGTTTAGTTGGCACTTTAATGATTGCCCTCTTATATATTGTTCGAAATAACTGTTTAGAAGGCCCATTAGAAATGTTTGTGCTAGGATTCGTATCATGAACTACACCGACACTAATAAGGTAAGAAAGTGATTGAATAGATATTTTTTTATAAAAAATGGTATCTACTTCATTTTATGTCGTTGGACATATCATTAACATTATTGTAATATCATATCATCATAACAATAAAAAAAATCATGAGCCACGGGGTTTCATCCTTCGTGGAATCCTCTAAACGAAAAAAAAACTACAATGTCTTGTGTCATTGTATTTTCGCTCTCGTTTTCCGTCACGTTAGAATTCCGCAGCACGATTGTCAGGCACCGTCATCCATTTTTTACCTAACTCCTCGATATTGTTTAATAACTTCTCGTACATTGAAAAGTTAGCAGGTACAACTATATCGACATTCGAAACCATCTGTGGCGGTGTAGGCATATATCGTGTATGACGAGTGACCATGAATAGTGACGATTGATCTCAACCCCGAACCAAGTTTATTCGATCATTACACTTTATTAAAAAAAAACAAACTATAACAAACTATAAAATATTAATATGTTTTTTACATCAACACAACTCCATCGCTTTCTTTAAGAACTCCAAACACGCCACGGGTCGATTCCAGCTGCTGCTATATAGATGTGCCGAGGGATAACACTAACATAAAAAGTGTCTCTTTTTCAACAGCTACGCCTAGAATCTAAATAGTCTTATTATATATTTTTCTAACTATAGATTTTGACGTCATAAATGAACTTAACAGGCACATAACCAGACATATTTTTATAAGGGGGCCAACATTTTTTGGCCCCTTTCTGTAGGTGTGTTTATCAAATGTGCGTTCGATATCCGTATTTGGAATTTCTAGTTTTCAATCTAATAATACACGTACTATTGTCTTATCTCAAATTGTCAAGTGACGAATATTTATTAAATACAATCTCAGAATTTAATTTTTTGTTATACGATCATTTATCATATGGAATGGGCGCATGTAAACTCCACCACAAGTACCTTTATTACTGTAAACACCATAATATTTAAAAATCAAAATCAAGGGGCCCAGTTCGGGGCCACTGATTTTTCTTAGTGGGCCTTTCCCTCTAAGGCCCCCCTTGACGACGTGACTGGAACTTAAGTCAATATTTTTATTTTTCAATGGAGGTGATTTTAGAGAAATCTGCTACTTTAAAAACTAATGCACTCATTACTCCATTGAATTATCGTAAATTTCCAAATTCTTTAATTTTTTTAATACATTGTTCAAATGGTTGTTTAACCGTGATGCATATAGCTGAGCTACTATAATCATGCCTCAAAATCAATAATCTATACAAAAAAAGTCTAAAAAAGATAATTGTGTCCATTATTTCTTATCCTTAACGGCTCTAGCTTTTACCTGTATTTTTTCTATGATAAATTTTCTAATACTTCAATCATTCACATATTAATTAAATTACTTATTTAATACTCTAAAAAATTTGCAATATAAAGTGAAATAGTAAAATGTATATAAATTTAGTTATTTGAATTTCAAATTATTGTTTTCTTAAAAGAATTCTTTTTTTTATGATTACATATGATTATGGTTACATTGTTCGCTATTATCCATAAAAACAACAAATATATAAATATGGACATAGAATGATATTAAAACGCTTTAATATATTTAGATTATTTGAATATAAAACCTAAGTGAACTTCAAATGAAATGATTCGTTTATTGTAATAAGTTATTTTATATGTTTTTATGCATTTTAATTACGTAAATAAAAAATGATAATGTAGACCTTCCATTTTATTTATAATAATGAAGTATATATAATATAGACTATAGTAAACTAAACTCAATTTTTGATAAAAAAAAAAGCCTACAATATTTTGTTATTAAAATTACATGGAAAATATGACATTTAATTTTCATACAATATTACTATACAGAAACATTGTTCTATACCTATTGAACTAGTTCAAGAACTATATCTATTGACCCGTATTTGAAGGACAATGTTTTTGTACACAGAAGTATTATTGTAATAAATGTATTGTATAATTTGTAAGCATGTAATTTTAATATAAAAATATCTTTCACGAAAATGAGTATAACTTTATATCAAAATAGTAGGATTGATAATTTTTCCTTTTTATATTATGATGCGAAAAGTGCTGTATATCTCACCGCGGAATGTGTACACCAAAGATGTATATAGTCGTACATAAGACTTTATGCGTTTCATTCGTATTTTGTATTTAAAAAACGTTTTATAAACCTCTGGACGCTCGTCGGTCATCCATGTACGATTTCCATCTACATATTATAGTAAATAAATGTTATTCGATCTTCAATTATACACGCTAACAATGCTGGATCTAGGAAATTCAATACGATAAAAATGCAGCGAACTTTAATAGGTTGAAGTACGAGGTATGTTCATGAATTATTTTTATTTTTCATAAACTTAGGAGTGCCTTTATACCAACAGCGCCTAGGGCAAGCATACTTACTTGTACCCCACCTCTAAATCCGACACTGCATGCAAATAATTTGTTGAATTAACATAACATATATACCAGTCCAAAATCAATCTTTTGAATAATTTATAATTTATTTTTCATAGTAACTGTATAGGACCAATTCAACTAACTGGTAGGTACTGCTGATGCATTACAAAGCGTTCAAGGGCGGAAGCTACATACATAGTGGAAACCCTACAGAGAACTATACTATTATGTTATTTTCATTATTATTAGTATAGGCGTATCTGAGATACTGCCACAGTGAGCTGGTTTTCAAATTCCATCGTTATGACTCGTGTTCCTAATACACACAACATGTCAATTGCATATAATAATGGTCGTCTCCAACCATCCGTATACCGATGGTTATCGATATGATTAAAACATGTTATATTCTGATTTTTAACCGTATAACCAAAATAATTCACGGATACATTTTATCTATACCGTAATGTCTTTTCCACAAATAAATCGTTCAGGCCTGTATTGATACAAAGTACTATGTACCATGGAAATCAAAACATAATGCCATACGCCTGCATTCCAAATACATGTATCTAATTTAATCATCTATACATTCAAATTTAAATAATCTAGCAACAGTTTGCTATAAATAGTATTTTTTCATATTTACTTGCATATAGATGCTTATAATCTTTCAATTATTATCTATATGTATAAAATAGTTCATCCGTGTTAGCGGTCGTTCAAGTAAATTGTTAGTTCAAACGTGTAAATCTTAAAAATATTGATAAATATAAATTTTTTTTTTTTCAATTTCATGTTTCTC